CCCGGTTTTGAAATGCACCCGATTTCTGAGGTCTCAAGGTTGGCAAGTATGGTCCCAGCTCAGGGGTCACCACAACACTCAGCTTGTTCACTTCTGTTGGCCATTAAAGCAGCACTTCACTGATAGTACACATGATGTTCAGTTTGCTCGTCTGTTGCTCTTGAGAGAACTTTCTTCAGTTGCAATAAAGAAGCTTGATTGCATATGTAGGGTCAAATTAAAGCCTGAAAGTCAGGGTGTCCATTTAGATTTTTATCTTTATTTTTATTTCATCTTTATGGAAGTGCAACACTGATTAACTTGGGTGCCGCTTTGATGCACAACTGAGAAACTATTTATTTTCTCCACTATCACAGAGCGTCACAGTAGTTAAAGTTAAAGTCCTTTTGTTGTCATTACTTCTTCTCACAAACATATAAAGAAGAGTAAACAATACAGAGCATTCAGAGCCACAGTGTGATAGACACACCAGATACAGTTATAACTCTCACTGGGGCTGAGAAGAGCAAATAAAACAAAGAAAGACAAACGCTCAGGTTGATTGTGCAATACTGGCTGCTACTACATTTTCCATTGACTTTGATTATGCTGCTACTTGCTTTCACTCCAGTGTTTTTCAGGGTTCCTATTTTATTTTTGCTTTTCATCACAGTTTATTTCCCTGCTGTGGGGTGAATAAGGATTTATGACTCCGATTGCCTATCTGATGCCCAATCAGCTCCGACAGTGAGATGAAAGCGATAAATCACAGGGTTACGACTGATTTTGATCTCCATTGCCATCCAACACTAATAAAAAACTCACTTCTGATGGATTCGTAGGTCCACCTTTCATCGGTACACACTTTTCTTCCAATCCCTCTAGCATATTTAGATATTTTGTTGGATAGTAAACATTTAACCAATAAAGGCACTAATTAAAAAACTCACCCAACGGGATAATGTGAACCCATGTACTCATTTTGGAGATATTTCAAGTGGTGGATCAACATACCTCTGCTCTGAGGGCTCCTTGTTGAGAGCTGGTACTTTCATACACTTTGGAAAAGCCTCTATAGGTCATATAATAATCAGATTCTAAACAAAGGTTCACTTGTTAGCTGCATTTATTGTATTTACTGCCAGTAGTTTAGTTATTGAAACTAAAGTGTTTTTTTACAAGGAAAAACATTTGAAGTGACTCAAATGAATACGACATTTACATGTTTTGCTGTTTAGTCCCCAGGATGAAAAAAGATTAAACGTAGGTGGAGTTTAGTTGAGTCTACACCGTGTCTTCCCTCCAAGGTTAAACTGTCTGCTGATAGAAGGCTGAATCTGTGTTTTTGCTAAGAAAGTAGGGCAGCAGTGTGAGGTTTAGAGGAGCAATGTGAATATATTAAGACCATCCAATTCACACACACACACACACACACACACACACACACACACACACACACACACACACACACACACACACACACACACACACACACACACACACACACACACACACACACACACACCATTTATACATCACTTCAGGGGACATTACATTGACTTACATGCACTTCCTAGAGACTTACCCTAACCTTAACCAACACATGGTTATGGCGAGTCCCCACACGTGACTGTGTAAACAGATTTAGGTCCCCACAATTATAGTAATGCTATGCCCCACACACACACACACACACACACACACACACACACACACACACACACACACACACACACACACACACACACACACACACACACACACACACACACACACTCACTTTGAGACCTTCCTGCTCGCTGGTTGGTGTTTGGTGAGTTGCAGATTTCCATACTCTGTCTCAGCTTCCTGGTGAAGAGAGAAACAGACACAGAAATGAGGATCACTCGAACACAGACGGGTTGTTTTTTAATGATGTGGTTCGTTGTTTTCTCTCTCTAGGTCAATGTTCATCTTTCACCAGCTCCTCTCTGATAACGTATCATTCTGCTGGCTTTAAGCTCGTCAGCTGTGGCGTTCAAATCAGCAGCCGAAAGTGCAAAGGCCTATTGACCTATTTATCTCTGTTTTCTTTTCTTGGAACCGAGCCCCTGTCTGCCCTGTATCAATCCATGGCTCAGCCACAAGAAACATGTATTCCCTCTCTCTGTGTCTTCTCTGTGGAGCTCACCATGGAGGCACAGTCTTTGGCCTTGGTGGTCTGAATGTACTCAGACACAGCCAGGTAGATGAACTTGTACTGGGCCTCCGTCTGCACCATGCCTGAGCGCTGCTCTCGCACCATCTGGATGTATTTTGGGATGTCAAGTTCACAGTCCAAACCTAGAGAGATATATTACATTAGAAAAACATTTATAAACTGTGTATTTACTCAAAACATTTACTAATATCTTTGTATTACCTATAGAGTCGATGGTCACGAGGATCATGTCGATCACTACAATCGTGCCCGTTCGACCAATTCCAGCACTGCACAAATACAGAGAAGAAACCAAGTTAATACATCTTACCATCAATAAATCAAGACTTAAGCTGAACATCATTAACTCCACTAACAAAACTAAAAGTTTGGAGCCATGCTTGCTGCTCTGTCAGGCTTTACTACAGCTAAATCCTAACGCCTGCATGCTAGCACGCTAATGCTAACGCTATTGCTAATAAGTAAAGGAATAGTTTGGGTGTTTTTAACTGGGTGTTAAGACAGTACTCATATATTTCAAATTCACCAGACTCAATTGAAAAAAACAGTAACTTAGCCTCACAGGAGTTGCTGGACTTTCTCTGCCTCAATTGATCTGTTGATCTGTTTTTTGTGTTATAATGTGACTTTGTTGTTTTTAAGGTTAAGTTTGGACTCACCAAAAATGCAAGTTAACTAAAAGGCTTATGCAGTCGTGGACCTGCATCTCATCTGCCTGCAAGGTTAAATGTCTGTTTTTGTCAGGGGAGTCTGGTGGCTTTGAAGACAGCATATATTAACTTCAGTTCTCAGTGGAAAAAAAAGTCTGATGCTAATGGGAAGCGATACAAATATTCGTATAATAGCATAAAGTTAAACTGATAGGTGGGTAAAATACATTTTGCTGCTGCAGAACACCAGTTTGTTCCTGCGTTGATACTCATGTCTGTTTCTCCATACTGGGTCATGCTTACTGCCATCTACTGAAGGTAAATCACTGAAGATAAGTGTTTCATACAAGCCCACTTGAAAAAATCTGAACTATGCCTATAAAGCAGTCACATGTCAAAAGGGGATTAGTTGTGATAAGGGAAAGTATGGGACAGCTGTACAGCTTTGTGAAAATGCTTAAATGCCAAAAATACTTAAATAAGAGTCTTGTAATAATTGAAACAACAGGTTTAACGTGGCACAAGCCGCCTCAGTATCCGTCACATCACACGGGGGAAATTCCATACGGATAAACTATAAGTGGACTCAAAGACTTCTGTTCAACAACTACTAATCTCAATCCTGAGAATATAGTCATTTTAATCTTCTCTAAGGGTTACCAACTCACTTATCGTTCACTTAGTTCGGAGTCGTTTTTCACAACATGACACCAGTATGTCTGTCCAGCACGTCACACATCTGAAGTTTGAGGATTTACGACCTTCCTGACACCGAGTGTGACCCCACATGAATGAACCAACATCTGGGAAACACATGGTGACCTCCTGCAAAACCTTCACATGAAAGAATGCCAGAGGTGTGACCAAGGCCTTGTGTCTCTGCTCTTAAACCTGAGGCATGTCCCAATCCTACACTTTGAGTTTCAAGTCCCAAACCAAGTCAGAATGTTTCTCTGTCTGTCTGTATTTGTCCACCTGCATATTTTTTACATACAGCCATTTTGATTTTGTTCACCACGAGTAGTTTTTATTAATGAATGAAATAATCTTGCGGACAGGCGCTAATTAACATAATTTCTTAATAGTTCAATTTGATTGGATGATTTTTTACGTTGGTCTTTTTATTTGTATTTCTGTTGTACCTAAATGCTCACTTTGTTTTATGGGGTTTGATATTTGATAATGTTGCATCGACTGTCTTACCTGTCAGAGAGAAAACATTATTTGATTGTTATTATCATACCTTTAACCTCCTTGTGTCTATTAACCTGATGAAATGGTGTATGTTGCTGCCTGCATTCACCTTTTAAAGTTCTTAACAAATAATCTGAGGGGAATTTCTTGTTGTTTGTTTTAACTTGTGATGTGTCATTTTGTAAAGCACTTTGAGCTGCATGTGTTGTATGAAAAGTGCTATATAAATAAAGCTTTATTATTATGTTGGATTAATTCAAACAAATTTGATCAGAAAAACGTCAACTAGCTAGAAATAAGAAGTATTAACGCGAGGTGATTAAAGGAATGATAGCAGCGAGTTCTCTGCTAAAAACCTCTGGACAATGAGCAGCGTGATGGTCTCCCCAGGTGAGTCGTACCTGCAGTGGATGATCATGGGTCCAGCGTCGGGGTAGACTTCCTGTTTGGAGTTCACCTGACCGAGGAAACTGAGGACGCCACCGGGCTCCTGAGGGACGCCGTGGTCCGGCCAGCTCATGTACTGGTAGTGCCAGATGGTGCGGGAAACTTTCGGCTGGGAGAGGAAAACATTATGGGGTTATCAAGCACTCAAATCCAGAACCAGACACTTTCTACGCTGCTATGGACAGTCTAGCACTAATGTACATTCTCAAAGATATTGAAGTGACTCTTACTTTTGTATGTATTGATAGCTGTGCTTTTATTTAGCTCTTAATGTGTGCATATGTATAAATGTGTCTTTGATTGAGTATATATAGGTTTATACATATTTGTTTTTGTATACGGGATTTGTGTCTGTACACACAAACTGAAAGATTGACAATAAAGTTGACTTTGAAATCAAAGAGGGTGTTTTGAGGTTACCTTGTTCACAAGAGCGATCTCCAAAACTCTGATCTTGTAATCTGTCGCTTCTCTCTCTGAATTCAAGGTCACCAGGAAGGGGCCGTACTCCTTAGAGCTCTGAAGGTCGGGCCAATACGGCACACATTTATTCTGCACACAAGATAAAGAATATATAAAGTCAATTCTAACATATCTCCAGGGAACTGTTGTTTGAGGTTTTTGTGGATTATTTTGAACGCTGTTGTTGTCTTTCTTATTTTTGGAACTTTGTGTGTTTTAATATGTTGCCCAAGCTCACCATGACACACAATGTTTATTGTAAAGGGAATAGATAAAGATAAAACTGAAATCAGATCAGCTCTGATTTATTTATATCATCTGCCGGTTCATTCTTAAAAAGAAATGTCACCTAC